TAGTCGATAAATTTCGATGTTATTATTGCGACGACAGAGGCAGTAATAACGAAAAACGTTTTTGCTTCTTATCGCTTAGAAGCTACTGTTAACGCGTACCTTGGACTAAACGATTACGAGCACAGAAGAAGCGGTTAACTGGAAATTAATAGGATCATTAAACCTATAGGCTTCGCATAGATGTTGGACTTCCCTCTAGGATAAATTCTCAAGGAATATTCTTCTTTTTCACTTACGCTTGACGCAACAACAGGGGGAAGTAATAATAAAAAAAGAACAACGTCTGTTTGTATTGCAATAAGTCGTTTCGCTTTTTACTGCTTAGAAGCAGTACTTGCTGTTTTTGTGCGCCTCGGTTTAAGAATAACGAGCAAATAAGAAATTAATAGAAGTATCCGACCTGCGTAATATACGCTCTGCATCGGTTGCACGCAAGAAGAACTCGAAGTGCCGGACTCGCATCTACGATAAATTCTAAAGCGACAAAATATTCTTCTATTTTCCTTTGATATTCGCAGTGGCAAAAAAAGTAGCACGACGATGTCCGAGGATAGCCTTCCTTTCGCGCAACGACGACCGCCCAAAAGGAATATTACGTTACGAATGCACTTGGGTGTCTCGTCTCCGCGAAATTTACCATCGTTTTAATGAATTCAGTAGAAAAACCAGCCATAAATCCGGCAAACTTTTCGCGAGCGGCCCCCGTAGCCGACGCTGCCGCGCAACGTACACTCGCACTTCTTGCTCGCGAGTCTACGAGCCATTACGAAATAACGAGCTGCCGCCACCGTTACGCTTTACGACAGCCGTGCAATTTAATCCGTCGGTTCGTCCAAACGTTTATGCCCGATCGATGTCAGACAAGACGCAGGCTCCAGCCGGATGCCAGTCTCCGGGAAACGTCGTTCGAAATAACAAGGAACTTCGAATACTACCAATGCTGTCACCTCCAGTTATTCTCAGACCTTCCTGGACTTGCCCGATATTATTGGAATTCGCTTCAAAACCCGAGCTTCGAGCAAAAATTAAATTGCATCGGCTATTTCGCTGACGGTACGATATTCGAACTCGGAAGTACCGCAACCCTATCCCTTGTTTTTCTCGGACTTTAGTTTCCGTATTTATCGAGGTAATAGCTTCCGTTTGTCAACTTTACCTTATTTATTTTTATTCGCTTCACCATTTATTTGTAGAGAATTCCGAATACTCGAATTTCAAATAAAATTCGAAATAAGCGTGGATAGGTCTGATTATGCTAATGCATCGATTTCGGTGCACGGTGACCTTTTGTTGTCAAAGGAAATTGATTCTGCGTTTAAAGGATATCAAGGAATATCGAGTTCGCTAATGAATATATTACCGAGGAACGAGATTGTGAAAAAGTATATTATTATATTAGGAATTTCCATAGTAATAAATGAGTGTAATATTAGTGTTTGAATGACGAATGAATAATCTTAAAAATACTGAAGATAACAAAACATGTCTTTCCACTGTTTGAAAATGAAGTGGAACGGAGTGACGAGTGTTACGAACGGCATGTGTCGCGGTGGAAGAGCTCGAGAATAACGAAAGCTACAAGTCTCCCAGAAATTGGAGCTCAATGGACGATCCTTGAGTCAACAGAACTTCGTTTTGATCGCGGGTAACGAATAGGTGACAGTGTCGCGCGCGATTGCAACGAGAGCACACCGGAAACTTAATCCATGGATCGTCGAACTGGGTCAACCATTTGACCCATCGTGATCGTTCAGGAAAACGCGGCTCAACCAATTTCCTGGCGACATTTGGGTCAAGGCTGCGCTTTTTGCGCCACTCGTTAATTAACAAATCCCCGTCAACCGTGCACATGTTTTCGCAAATCCGAGGATAAAACGAGGATGAAAAAAAAAAAAAAATAAGAAAATGTTTATTCGAATGAAAGCTTATTCGAATAAGTCTCTAATGGGCGATGCTGGTGAACGAAGAAAACGCAATGCAATGTAAAAATGTTATTTCGTAGATTTGTACCTCGAAATATTTTTTAACAAATTTTAGTCAAGTGACTATTGTCTAATGAAACTATTTAGGAAAAGTATCTTGAACGACGTGAAGTGGCATAAAGTCGCATTTAGCAATTTTCACAGAGAGTAAAGGTATGTTTTCTTTGTTACGATAAACAAATCGCGCAAAATACCTAGATTTCTGAAAGACCTCGACGTTTACACGGATATGGATTCGGTCTGGCGATAGTGGTAGGCTAACTGGGCGCGTACAAGCCCTCGCGAAGCAAACGGGTTGAACAAACGAGAAGCGAAGCAAAGAAATTCGTCTAATTCTTTTCAACGGTCGAATTCATTCCGGAAGTGGGTCCCGTCAGCGAAGGAACCGTCCGTTACACATTCCCAGGCAGTTTTCACCTAGCTACGTGCCTCTTCAGCGAGCCAGCTCGATACTCTGATGGCCCATTGTCGACGGGCTTTTGTCTAGAAGCTGCCGAGCCACTATGAGAATATGACGAGCCACCGGATCCAGAGATACCCATCAGAAGCGTTTACACCAGAGATTACTTGTGACGTGGCTCCGAGCGACGCTTCTTTCCGCCTCCGAGCCTCAGTCGATAGTCCCCTTCCCTCTCCATTTTGTTTCCAACCCCTATTTTCCTAGCCTGACGCCGCGGAATTTCAGGCCTCGTCGACGAGGCAATGAGACCTCGTGACTATCGAACAACGCGACGGAAATACGCGTCCCGCGTCGAGGACGTTGTTAGGGGATCGTGAGCTTCAATTGTCGCTCTTTCCCGCGGCGATGGTTTACGGACGCAAAGGCACCCGAAGGTAAATCGTTTCTGGATTTTTTCGGTGAATTTCTTGGATACCGAGGGAACACAGAGCGCGCGGAGGCTCTTCCATTTAAGCATCACACGTTCACAGAATTTTCCCAATTTTCTTAAATACCCTTTTCATCGGGAAGAGGATATATCTCCAGATTTCGCGGCGCCTGCAGAGACCCGTCGAGACGTTACCCTCGCACTTTTCACACTTTCGAAACTTTTCCCGTGACCTAACTCGGCTCGTCATCCAATTTTCCATAATCTCGACGAAGTTGCTTATAAGTTAAATTAAATACGGGGCAAATTCTTGCGAGGCTGTTCCCGGCCGAGGTCGCGACGAATATTCCGAGAGAAAAAGGAGGACCAGATGTTCGAAGAAAACTGGCGTCCCCTCGGCCACCGTCGGGAAACAATGGATGCGGGGTTGCATTGTCTCGTGACCGAGGCTGATACAGAATTCGAAATTATGCATTTTAGACGAGATAAGTTCTTAAAAAAAGGTGACACAGAAATGGGGCTTGTAAGCGAGGACGGAGAGGAAGAGAGAGTTTTTCGAATAATTGAGAACGGAGATGAAAAGATATTCCAACCTGTTACGTCGTAGAAATCACCCTTTGACATCGATCGAAATCGACCGAGACAAACTTTTTTCAGAGGAGCCAAACGTACCATTTTCTACTTCGCTGTCACAAAGGAGATTCGTCTTTCTCGTTTACGAATTTTTGATTCAATTAGCAAGCCGATGAGGCTGTCTTCGTAAGAGTGATTGAGATACAAACGAGTCGTCTTACGAATACAGTAAATTAATTATCCGTAGTTTAATCGAAGGGTTGAAATCTTTGATAGCGAATAGAACGCTGTGGTTCGAATTGAATTTGACTTGTCGAGTCCCAGTTTACACAAGAAAAATTATGACTTCTCTCCTTGACGACATCAATTGTCTGTCCCCCAAAGAATTAGACGAACAATAAATTACATTTAAAACAAACGTAATTTACAAAGCGTTAATTTTTATACAGTCGCTCCTTGACCTATATGCACGGAGTTATAAATAAATCAGAAACGCTTGGGTCAGTCGTAATCCGGAAAGTCGAAGAGGAAGAGCTAGAAACAAAGAGGAAGCTGCTCGATTCGGAGGAGGTAGACACTCGGAACGTTCGGTAAATAATTCCTATTGGAGGAAATCACGTGCCACGCCTCCAGCAAATTTAGTTGAGAGCCGTCGAGCAGTATCCGCGATCGATGGGATATCCGTAACTCCTAAGGTCACTGATAAATACGAGATGACTTCGATGGACTCGACGCCAATTGGCCATCTGACGGAGCTAGTTTAGCGGTGATTTTTAATTGCGATTAGGCACGTAGCCAGGGCCTCGTATTTAGGGAAACGTTCCAAGATCGAACGGTTCCTTATAACAAACGTAGGCTTGGATTTCGATGTGACGCTCGTTCAATTGCTTTTTAATATAGGTATGATTCTCGTTCGTACAATAGAAGCGGATTAGCGACTAATACGTCGAGACTGACAACTGTAGAGTAGAGAAAGCTAATATCGATATCTAGAGAATCCTAGGAGCCTGTATCTGCGAACACAGGGTCACGAGAGTCGATCGTCGGTGATCTTGATATCGTAGGAGACTATAGCAACGACCCTGAACTACGTAAGTCGATACTGACTACTCCCATTACTGGTGAATGATTTCTGTCGTTCAAACTCGTTGCTACCAGTTTCTATAAATTACTCGGGATTTCTTAATATTTCGTGTCATTTTTACTTGAGAAGAGAACCTTTCGACAAGTCTTTTAATTTCGTCGGAATCCACTTCTTTGACATACCCATTTTCAATTTTAATTTGAAATTGTTGGGAATAATCAGACTCTTCACTGGTCTTAACCAAGTGAAACGATGTATAAAATAAATTCATAGTTTCTACTTTGATAAATGACGTCTCTGCCAACACGTTAAAGAACACGATTCGAATACGATCAGGTCGCAAGCTTGTCGAAAAGCACACTTCTCGCGAAACTTGAACAAGGACCAAGAAAGACCGTCGAAGACAGACGAGAATCGCTTAAATTCGTCGCGATTGTCGTCGAGGTGGCATCCGACGCAGATGGAGACATTAACGGGGACGGTTTTATGACGCGTGAAAATATCTTGGTCCGGAAGATGAAAGTAGAAACTCACTTTGAGGGCCTCTTCGTGGGTCACCGCACGGAAGGGTGTGCCGTTCACCTCCAAGATGGTGTCTCCTGGCCTGAGTCCAGCGCGTTCGGCCACCGAACCCTCCTCCACCCTCGAAATGTAGACACCCACCCCTGAGAACAATTCACAGACTTTCCATCAGGCCGGAAGCTGCTTGGCGACTGGTCCGCGACCAGTGCTGACTAAAACCTTCCATCCAGGGCGCGCCATCGCGAGATCTTTCTTTTATCCGCGCTTTAAACGCTCCTCTAATTGCGCTGGAAATCGTTCTTGAACACCTGACGAACGCTGCTAAAAATGGGAGCCAGGAATATTCGCACACTTGCATATACTATGTATGGATACAGTGAGGAGCTTTAGTTGGTAAATATTTTTTTGGACATATAAAGCACGACTAAAAGCACGACTTTTGGTAAGAAAAGAATGTGGCTACACGATGAAATTTTTTAGACAAAACGAATATTCTTAGGGGGTTGTTAAAAAATTGAGCGAAGGGAAGAGGAGGCTCAATAATTTTTAAATCGACAGACCAATGCTTATTTCATCAACAGTAAATTATACAATGATATTCAAGACTAAAAATTGTTTGAAAGTCATCAAAAATTATTTTTTGAATAAAAGGAATATTCTTAGGAGGTTGCAAAAAATTAAATGAAGGCAAGACGTGGCCTTACAATTTTTAAATTGAGAGATCAATACTTTTTTTCATCAACGATAATTTATACAATGATAATCCAGACTAAAAATCGTATGAAAATCATCAAAAATCATATTTATCTACTAAAATTGAAACGTGGTGTACTCCACCTACGATCAGTGTGAGTTTAATACATCATAATTGTTTCACCTCCCTACCAGGAAAATCGGTTTCCCCCAGAATTGCTTTAGCAAAGAAACAGTATCGCGATCCTCCTAAGTATTTAAACTCCAAAGTGGCCGCGATCGCGAAGTCAAGCCCGTTTCATGAACCCGGCTTCCAGACTCTATAAATCACGGCTGGGAAATGGATCCATTAGAATGCAAGGAGCGTGACGACGCAAAGCTCCCATTTTTATCGGCGCCGGGGCGAGCTGCCGTCGATGGCACGGCGCGCCATGGATGGAAGTCGTGTGTTAAAATGAAAAAAAATAAAGTGGTAAATAATATCGAAGATAAATAAAAAAAAAAAAAAAAAAATAGAAAGAGAAAATAAGATAGTAAATGCGGATGCATAAACGTGAAAATTGTTCGAATAAGAGATTACGATCTTGGTGCCGGTGCGTGTTTGGTGTATCTCGATCCGAGCGAGACGGGCCATGCAAGAGATTTCCTTTTCTGCGGAAACTTGCTTATCCGTTTTAACCAGTCCTAATTAGCCAGAATAAATATAAAATAATTACTAGAGAAATACCACGCCGTTAATATTCGAGTTACCGATTTCCAAGAATTTCCCAAATTGTTTATCTCGAAAACGAAGTTTCTCTTATAAACAATTCCATTACACCTTCCTGATTTATTTTAATTTTAATTTCAATTTTAATTTCAATTTTTACCACATCCTCACATTCCCAGCGTGGTTTTGCAAAATGCAAACAGTTACGATAATTCCATATCGAATCAGTATTCATAGCATCGCATTCAACGCATCGAACGCATAATTTTCCGTCTCTTGCTCGAGATCATTTCCGCAGAAGAAGACTCGATGGTTATGGGTGGGGCTGCAAACGTTCGCCGTTGGATGTTTTTTGAGCTTGCGGCGGGGGCGAGAGTTTTCGTGAGAAACAGTGAGCATCCGTGCGATCGAGTGATCCTTGAATAGATCCCCAGTGAAAAAACAGTTAGCCGCAATATTGTCAAGATCCGTCCACCTGGTCCGACCGGCGCGAATAATTCGATAATCCAACGAATTGTTTCAAACAACGCGAGCGATTTCTCCGCCACCGAAAAAACGGAAATAACAACGAGCGGTATGTTTGTTTCGCGATCGGCGGAATTTACGGAGCGAACGCACGCGGAATTCGAGTAACTTCTTCCTCTCATTATGCCGGGCTCGGGCCGGAAGCTCGAAATAAATTCGCGAACGCGGCAGGCAGCTGCGGACTCTATAAACGAGTGGCTCGTTTCCAATAGATACCGAATTTACTCTCGCGTTACAAGCGATCGATCGTCCGTGATTCGATTTATATTTCCTGCCTCGTGCCAGGATATTCGAATTACAGCCACGGAAGAAAACGCCCGACGCGCCGAATCCGTCGATAACGGTGTACCCCCGTCGCTGTGAAACAATTACGCGGACGCAAAAGTTGCCTGCGAGTTGGAAAATGGACGCTCGAAATTAATAAAGCCTCGCTTCGACGTGGGAAACGCGAACAAACGCGATACATCCTCGTTAGCGTGAACCAGTTGAGCGAAAGTCTAATTAAAAAAAAAAAAAAAAAAAAAAAAAATAACAGAAGGCTACGCGACGCGATATAAATTATGCGAAACAGCTGATACTTAATAAGAGCCGAGCTTCGCTTTTTATGTTTCCATGGATCGCGTTACCTTGTTAACTTAACTCCTTCGTGCTCGTGTCGTTTTCGAGGCGCACCGGGTTTAGACAATTTTTATGGTCGTAAATTCGGTTCGCGTCGTTAGCTAGCGAAGCGTTTGTCGTAGTTACTCTCCGACGTTTTTGGCCTCGAGGAGGGTTGTAAAGTTAATCGAATCGCTCGCTTCTCGGAAGCAACTGGGCGCTGAAGCAATGCATTCGACGAAGGGGATTTTTGTGTTGATTACTTTTCAAGATTTTCATATTAAATACCCGTACTATTTGTATCATACTCTCGCGACAAAAGCAGACTGATGCGATTTGACGGAAAGTAACATCCAGGTGTGGGCACGAAGGGGTTGACACGCACAGCGTTGGTTAATTAACCCTTCGCACTCGAGGCCTTGTTTTCTGGTATCTGTCAGCAACTCGAGATGCTTTCTTACTATTCTATTCACTCACGAATGCTAAGCTTACATTGACTTCGAAAATGAGACCTCTAATTCGAGATTTGAGAATCAGATCACCTTTGCCTTAACGACGATCATTTTATTGACACTTCGAGTTCCAAAGAAATTGAACCTAAAGGAAATCTAACGATGATCGAGAGTCACCTCTCGAGTGCAAAGGGTTAATTACCACGATGTTTCTCCGGGAGACAATTGTTCCAGGAAAATCAAATCTTATCCGTAATCTCGAAGACGGACGGGAAAACAAACGAGAATAAAATATTATAGATACGAGGGGTGGCGCGAAAAGGGACACTGAATTATACTTGCAAAGCACGAGCATCATGAATACTTAATTCCCTAGATATCCGTCCCCGACACGAAACGTAATAAAAGTACGTTTACACGTGGCGGTCCGGATGTGATCGATAAGCTGCTCGGGCGCAAAAAAATTTCACGCTCGGACAAGGTGGACGTCGAAACGAGGGAACGGTGATGTCTGTTCCACCGCGGGAGTCCCGTAATTGATCTCCTTCCATGCCGACAGGCCGGCTGGGAGCAAGGATTAATCCGGCTGATAAAAGAGATAAGAAGAACAATGAGCTCGTTACGCGAGGGTCGCGTTCTCGCTGCCGAACTTGTGTCATCGTCAAAGGTTTAATAATAAAAGTCGTCTCGTGTCCCGAGCCCATTTAAGAACTGATTTTTATTACCGCAACAAGCATCTCTCCCTCGATCTTTGTTCCAATTTCTCAGCTCTCCGATATTAGGAGATTCGCCCCTTTTTTAATTCAATTCCATAGTATTTCTACGAAACTATTTATTACGACACGATGCACACTTGTTGAAATTCTTCGTTTCAATCTGAATTCCACAACGTTTTAACGTTCTCTTACTTCGAACGCTAAGATGCAATCGACAGATTATTCTGTGGAATATCGTGCCTAAATTTTCATCAAATTTCGAAAATTGAGAATAAACTGGATCGATAATAAAATAATTGTAACAACGTCTCTCGCGAACCTCGGATTTGTACTTTTGAATCTCTTCTTTGAGTTAACTCGAGATACGGGCATCCTTGAATGGGCTCCGTCGCGATATTTTCCGAATTTCGCGTTCCTGCTTCCTGCTCGTTAGGGTACAATGCAAATTATGTGTGCATAGAGCGACGCCCGCGGGTGTACGTGTACGAGTTTTTCTTCTATAAATTCATAAACTATGCGCATATGCATCATACACTGTCATGCAACGAAGTGCCGGCGTGCTAAGCCTAGAGGAATTCTCGGTTGCCATAATTGCGAGATTCTAACGATAAATCGTCGGAAAAACGGAGCAACGAGAGAAAGAATTTTTCATCTAAGCATTCCCGCGGAGACATTCGTAACCTTTCTTTGGAAAAAAACACATCACGATCAAAATTTACGTACTTTTCCAGGATGAATTCTGTGAATCATGTAATGATTTATCTATTTTAATAATTTTGTTAGGATCGAGGCTTATTGTGTCGTTATATCAAAACTCTGCGCGTCGCTGGAGACGAAGTCGTGTAAGACTATTTAAAAAGAAAAGATTTCTAAACGATTCCACCTTTCGTATCCAACCCAAAGGTTCTCTCGACATCAAAAGGTACTCGATACAAGAATAAAAATGTATTCACGTCCCCGCCATTTCTGTATAAACACACAGCTTTCGTTATTCACTTCTGGGACCATTAACACTTTATTTACTGGGAGCCTATTAATAGGCTTTTTAATTCCAGTATTCAGCTCTTCGAATTTATTTACCGTGTTGATGGTTGTCTACTTAAAATGTTCAGTTTTTAACCGACTTCGAAAAAGGAGGACGTTACTCAATTCGACATGTATATTTTTTTCTTTTTTCTTTTTTGGAAACAGACTTGGCTCTCAATGTACCTAATAATAGTACGAAGGAATTATTGTCAGCCTAAATTGGCGTATGCTACTGTATAAAATTCTTTTTTGAATTAAAGACCGTTTCTAAATAGCCCGGTAGATAAAGTGTTGATAAAAAAATTGAACCCAAGTCTTCGCGAATATGCATTTCTCTCACGAAAAGTATTAAACCCCGAAAACCCGGGTCGTGCCAGTACCGTCTTCCAACACCGAACCGCTCGATTCGTTCTCCATTCGCAACGTATTCGATGTGAATTTAGGCGACGGCTTCGAGGCTAATTCGTCGTTATCGCGCGCAGTTCGTCCGGCGAAAGAACCGGACGACACGAAAAACGAGCAAGAACACGCGTGGCTGGTCTGGAGAAATCGTCGACTCGTTTCACGGCGGAACATATCGAACGTATCGAAACCGGGACGACAATCGAACCTGCATTCTGATCTCCGAAGGGAATCGGCCCCGAGGTCGGCTTCGGCCACCTGTTCCTACTTTTAACGAGCAGTCCGGTCGAATGTAATTCCAGCGACTCGATTTATCCTCGTGAAACTTTGTGAAAAAATTCCGATAACCCCCTCAGACCCTCCCCCTTCGCCCTGTTCGCCGCCCCGCGACTGAATCCAGCCCGTTTCCCTGGAAAATATTTTAAAAGGCCAGGGGATTCTGGCTCGATGGGAACGTTCAAGCGATGACAGGCGAACTGAAAGACCAAAGTAACTCCGCCGCGGAGGTAACATGTTGAAACGAACGACGGAGTCCACGGTCGTAAAATTCTCCGATGAATTAAAACATTGTACTTTATTGGGGGGGAAGGGGGCGGTCTATATTTGCGGAGTAATTTCGGAGTTTCGTTTGGTCTCGCATTGAAATTTTTAATAATCCGACGTTTCGGTGGACTTTACGGAGCAAAGGGATTTCGAGGTTGAAATCGCAATAATGTAGCATGTTCTTTTTTTTACGTTGTTACAAGTGTTAGGTAATCTTAAATAAGAATTCTTTAATTATTCCTATTTTATGTTACGCGTCGTAGTATACCGAGGGTATTTATTTAATATTTAATTGAACTGTAGCAATTTCATTGGATGGAACAAGGTCATTTATGATAGCAATTTCTGTATCTAAAAGGGAAACGGTTTGTCTCCGATGATCTCGTCTTCAGCATCGATATAAAGAATGAATAACAGGAAATAGTCGGGAATGAAAACTAAGTATATCCAAAACACAGATTATCATTAAATAACCACCAATCATCCCAAAAGATACAAACAATAAATATATGTTCCACGTATCTGTTTAGTCATTTCGATCGTCTCTCGCATCTCTCGCAGATTAAATCTCTCGCAATGCAAAATAATGGAAAAATGGCGATATTTATTACAAAATGGACAATATCATTGTTAAGAAGCTAATTTCTCTCGTTTCGTGATTGAGTTCGTTTCTCTCGTTCTCCTCGTCGCCCTCTAGTCCCAAGCCCGGCCGATCTGCGCATAACACTTTCATGCGACATCGATCGTTACTCAGTGTGTTAGTGTACATGTGTGTGTGCGTGCGTGTGTGTGTGTGTATATGTATATGTGTGGATATTTGAAAACCACAGGGAGATTGAAACGACCGCGAAATTCGAACGATATGGGAACCAGCGAAATTAGTGCACCCAATCACCCACAGGGTGTCTTCAGGAGTCACTTTCGGGTGGATTATAATTCCTCGATCTAGCCTTGTTTTATTGACACCTGAGATAATCAGATCGAATGATATTGAAACTGGAAATCACACTGATTCGATTCTTTTATAGTTATTTTTGAAACTATCCCAATAAAGATTCAAGGCTTACTGAAACACAAATTTCACTTTCTATAAAACACTGATTAAAATTATAAATAAACGTGACACGACGTAGATGGATCCATAGAAAATTGAACTCGTACAAAACCGAATCGAAAATTTTCTAAAATTTAATAAAATTTTTGCTCAAGAATGCAACTCTCTTGGTCTCGTTAGGTCCGCAAGGCGAAGGACTAAAGAATATTCGGAATCGTAGCGGGGGGTATCTTCTATTGCTATAATACGTTCGATTAAGCGAAGCTGTCGTCTCTAATGGCCACTCAGGGGCATTACGAATCGCCGTTCGGGAACTCGTGTTACGAATCCAGCAGCCATCGGGCCGTGATATAAATCATATCGATTAACGATCGCCGTCCGATGGGGATATAAATCGTTGGAACGGCTCCGTAAAAATCGCGAGTCACTGGTCAAAGTCGAAGGTCGAGTCTTTAATCGCGATTAATGTGACTTACGCCTGGATTTTCTACGACTGTTTCGAATGACATAAAGAAGCTAGAATTGTTAATCTCTGCAGACTAAACTTGACAAATTTCAGAATCTCGGGCAGTCAATATTACTAATAATCTTCTAATCATAACGAAATTGGATACAAAACTGTATCGTTGAAAAACGTTAGTGCGCTAATCATATATAAAACGATTTAAAAAAGCCTGAATGGTTCGTCCGCGATTTTGACCGATTCCTACCGTATCAAGTCGAAGAAAGTCGCGAATTTTCTTTAGTACAATAGTACTCGGTCTCGCGAGCATTTTTGTACCGATCGCCAAAGAAACTAAGGGAGGGTTCGTTGGCTCCCTCGCGCTCGAAGTTTCGGGTCGTTCTTTCGATCTTCCGACAGTTTCCCTTAGACGTGTGCTAATTTCTCTTTTTCTCGCTCTCCCCCCTCTTTACTTTTCTTACATTCTCTCTGCCTTTCTGTTCGTACGGTTGATGAGTTACCTGACTGCGCTTCTGGTACAGCGAAACAGAAAACAAGAAAAGACACACCGCCAGTTGGCTTATTCCGACTTCGGCCTGTTCGAAGCGACGGCCAAGCTTTTGGAAAAGTTCCCTCGAAAAATAACCAATCGATCATTCGTGCGTGACGATCGCCTGTCCTAGTTTTGCCATACGTTCGAACGTCTGGTGCTCGAATGGAAACGTGTCTCCTCGTGGGCATCGCCTGTTCGTGCTCCGCGATAGAGAATTTATTTCTAAATATCCTCAACGTTCTTGTTTCATAAGCGGAATAAAAGACAAAGGCCATCTTGCGATCGATATTCTGTTTCGTGCGATAATACCGAAAAAGATTGAAGCATATTTTTTAATTTGTCCCTTCTGAAAATTGTTTTCTTCGGTCGTGTGATTTTATTTGGTCTACATTTTCGAAACGATACAGATTAGTATCCGACTGAAAAATTGTGGTTCGCGAAACGAACATATTTTTATCGGTCGTTACAAGCATTTCTTTATAATTGATATTTTCGGTCCCTTGCTCATCAAGTATTGCTTTCGGTGGGTATACGTGTTTCCATAGTTAAAACTTGTCAAAGTTCGGTAAAGATAGAACGAAAAGTTTAGTTTCCGACGAGCAATCGCAAAGTCAGACGAACAAAAACTTCGAGAAGTTGCAAATGGCGTCACTGTGGCCAATCAAATATTTATAAAGAAGCGACCTGATTGGCTTCAATGGCACCAGCTATGACCTGCTGAAATTATTATTCAGACCTTGTAATTGCTCGATCAAAACGAAATTTAATTCATATTCAACAAGTTTTTTTTTTTATTATATCTGTTAGCTTTTAAGATTCTTTATCTGATAACGGAAGCATGCAAATTGCGATTAAAAGATTGTTCAAAGTATACGAAACTTTGTATAGCTCGTTAGAGTAAATTTTATCAAGTGAAACATGAAACGAAGGAGTTTCATCCAGAACCAGTCACTTGTCTAGTTTTCATTTTCCATATCGGATCTGATATTTTGAATTTTAAAATTTCGAGTTCAGATTTAAAATCAGCGACCCCGGAAGTCCCTATATGCAAAGTTTCATCCAAATCGAATCGCTTCTTCTCGTTTTGGTCTGCGGTATTGATCTAATAGAGTGTTATTATCATTGTTAAATACTTTTAAATATGTTTCTGGTGTGGTAGTGGGCATGCTGGCAGTTAATTTACAGTTTCATGGATGTAAATATTAGGATCAACGAAGGGACCAAACATTCGTTAATGTCAAACACCTGTAACGACCAACGAGATTAACAACGACGAGAATTTATGTAAATTAATTTTCGTCAACTTCGTCGTGGTTTCAAATTTGTTTATCGAATTTTACGAATCGCCTGAAAATACGAGAATATTTTCGAGGAAACTCTCGGGACGCCTGGTAACGCGTCGTTTCGCGCAGACGCGTTTCCGATGAACGTGTTCCTCCGCAGGATCCACGGTCAGGATCCAGAGACGGCCAAACTCTAACCTAAATACAAATTTTGACGTACAGACATTTATCCGTTATTTCTAGAATAAAAATTAGAAGAATCTGCATTGTACTATACAATGCAATATTTCATAAAGAACAACTAAGAACCGAACAAAAGAACAAAAAACTATTCATTCATTACTCACAGAATGAAAACCAGAGTTTGAATTATGAACGGAAATATTTCACAATGGACAAATAAAAATTTAACTGGCCGAATGTATAAACGTCGCGAATGAATCGCTATAAGTAGCTTTATATGCCTCGTTTATTATTCGAGGAAGATTTCGCCCGTCTCTGGTCGGGATAACGCGACGACGATTCAAGTCGTCTCTCAGGCGTGCTTCCACGAAACAAAGTCGATGGTTTCACGCTCGAGATCTCGACGAGGACGAAGCGTGAAGCGAGAGATCGTTACCGTGCGTGCGCGCTGAAACGCCGTGATCAAGCGTGAAGTTTACGAGACTCGAAACCGTGAAACCGGACCCCGACGACGCCGACGTCGGGGTTGCTCCTGGCATCCGCGGAACGTGGATCCTGGACGGGGACATTTCTATTTATCTCTGGCGAACGCGAGGAACTTCTCTGGAAAACCATCCGTGAACTTTCTGATCTTTGGGAATTCGCTTCGTTCCTTTTCTCCTTTATCCCACGCAGTAACCAATTATACGTTCGGAATTTCATTCATCCATAGAACAATTTTATTCGATACCAAATTTGTTGGCTGTGATCATTCCAATGGCTGCTCGGTGAAAATTAATTTAACGTTTCGCTAAAAATTTCTTATTTTCTGTTCTTAGTTGCTTCGCATAAATATTAGATGTTCGTTTGATATTTCTGGTTTACACGATCAATTTTACTCGAATGTTTCCTATTCAATCGTTTTGTCACGAAATTCATGATTTTACTGTAAGACAATCCTATTGTTAAATTTCTAACTGTAACGGTGTCACCGAGGAAACTAATTCACGGTCGAGGAACTGGCATAGAGCATCCAATTGAATTTGTCTCTATTATAGCCGAAGTTCGATGTACGAAGGAAACGAATAGGCGTGACGTAGAGACCGTTGTATACATGGGAGATCTCGTAAGAAACCGATCGTGTTTGCCTTGCGAGCTCTTTGCTGCAATTTGTATCTGTACGAATACTTATTACACTGACTCTGTATCGCGTGCACTATGCGTGGTATTACATAGTTTCGAATTATTTCGAAACAAAATTTTGTTTTCATTACAATTACCACCAAAATTAGCCATTTTCATTTACCTCGAACGCGTAGTTTCGAATTATTTAAAAAAAAAAAAAATTTTATTCCCATTAAAATTACTAAAAAAGTTAGCGTGGCGCTCAACGCGTCGATTTAGAAATGCCGATATATCGTTTTCCAACACCTAGCGTAAAAGGTATTTATTTGGCATCGCTCCCATCGCGAAAGTCGCTGGAGTTACTTTACTGGAGTAACTACTCCAGTAAACAAGTTACTCTTGACCGTTCATAGTTTCTGTTGCGTCTCCTCAGGATCGTCCGCGCGCCTCGAGCACCCCGTTGGAAAGACCGATCCGATTCCGAGAACTGATTACAACCGGCCAGATACATCGCGCAATTATGCGTCCGCTGAATCCGTTTCGCCAGCCGCGGAATAAAAATATGCGCGACGGCTGGAGGGGCAATTAGGAGCGCGTCATTAAACGCGCGCCATCGTATCGCTGGTCAATTAGCTGGTATCGCTAATTACCCTGCCTAACGGCCCCCATTGTAAATACTCGCGAGCAAACGCGCTCGAACGCTTCGCGCCTGCCCATCTGTGCCTCTCCTCGCCACCGAGCACATTTTGCTAATCAGCGACGTGATTGTCTACCAAACAGGGAGATTTAATCGCGGCTCTCGTAATTTTTGCCAGCTACGTATGGGGGGCATTTAAACGAGTCGCGAGGGGTCCCTTTGGAAATTGTTACTCTCGCTGTTCGATGGATAGCGCTAGGTTATTCTAATAAATTATGAGTCTAAATTGACGACGAATAGACGAGGGTTGTTCGCTGACACGAATGGCTATGAATCGAGGGAGGAAGATGGTGCATTGGATATTAGTTTTATTAATCAGAGGAATATTATTAATTACGGCGCAAAGAGAATCGAGTGGTTCAAAATAAAATTTTAACGCGAAATGGAGTACTAGCTGATCGACATATATACAACAACTTTTCTGGTGGTTACTGTAACTCCGAATTAAAATTAGAAGAACAAAAATTGAACCGTGTAATAGTTTTACAGTTAAATCATTTCTTACAGCAAGTCTAAAGTGGGTCGAATATCGTTCGAATCCTCCTGTCTCTTTGTTAATTCGATTAACGGAGATTTCACTGTACAAGAGGTCGTCTGATAAAGCACTGTACAGTTTAAGTATTCTAAGTGTCTTGGAGGAGCGAGGGGTAGTTCCTCGATAGCCTTGAGCAGCCAATTGATTCGATTCCAACTAAACACTCCATCGACACTTCGCGAACTCGCTTTAAATTCCTCATTTACGCAATCAATTTCCTTATCAAATATTTCCCAATGTTTCCATGTTCGTGAATCGTTTCGTCGATCACCAGCAAATTAGCTAAAAAAATCTAAAATTGTTCGCAGATGAGATCGGCAATCATTGGACCAATCGCCAATTAATTTCGCATTCGTGTTTCCGTTGCGACACTCGAGTTTCCCATGTTCTCCAGAGAAATTCAACGCGGACCAATCAACGCCGACGTACGAGATAATGATCCGTCACGGGTTTTAATTATTTTCCTTTCATCATCGTTCCGGCCATCGATAAGCGAAACCAACGCGGATTCCTTTCGCGCAGAGAAAACAACAAGAGGGGAGAAAAACGAGCCGAAACGCGATCGGAATGTTGGTTCTTTCATCCGTCAAGGAGACCGTAAGCTGGAATGGAAATGATGCTTAATGATCGAAAATACACATGTTTTCTCCCGCCTTTCCCTCGACTCCCGGTTCCGTTCTCGCGACGATCGAATTTCGTTTTACCTTGATTCGATGCGTTCGAAATAATAAAAAGAGAGAATTTACGCGAATTCAACAGTTACAGAAATTAAGGATTGTCATTTCGCATGTTTGTATAGCCCATGAACAAATTACAATTCTTTAACAACGAAGATCTACAGGTATTCGTAGATTAATTAACTCGTTAACAAATTTCTTTCAACGATAAACCACATTTGTAAATAGAATAGTATCTGATCGACGAATCGTCTTTCTTTTCCTGTTAAATGGAACACACTTGCGAGACAAATTTTTCGTGGCAATCTCAAAGGGAAAATAAAAGCCGGAGTATACTTTGTGGTTTTCGCGTTCGCTGAAGGTGTCTCGCGAACGAGTGAAATTTTTATCAGCGCCGGAAATTGTACGAGGGAAGTTCGTCGCGAGGACGATTAAACCGGAAATCAGGGACTCGTGGCAGCTGTGCTGAAGCACAGGAAGCACAGGGTGTCGGTGACACGACGATTACCAACGAAAAGTGAACCCGATAGAAGTACGAGAGAGAAGATCGCAGCAGGCGACGCGATGCGAAGATATCGATTGCGATTGCTGGAAATGTCTATACCTGACGCGTAACATTCAGAATCACAAAAAGGAACAAATTTTGGAGGTGAAATGGATAAAAATAGGTAAAAATAGGCACCTGACTCTCTAAAACTCTAAATCGATACTATAAATAATAAGTAACTTTGCTATCGAACCGAATAAAATAATTTAACAAAAAGAAACGTAAATGCTTTCGATAAGAATATCATCCGAATCTTCTGAGGCACAGCTATAGGGTCCTTTGTCAAACTTGTACTTTTCTAGATACAAAATTTAAAAAGAAATTCTTATTTAAACCTAAACCTAAGTTCGAAAACAAAATCTCCTTCGCGTTAAATCTTCCTCGTGTATCGCCCACTGGGAGAATCTCGTTAAATCCACCCCTAGTTCGTCGATAAGGGGTGAACAATCTCTTCTAACAATCGCAATCGGTGGTGTTCGATCGCGTCGAGTGAACGGCTAGAAACGGCAATGAAAGTTACAGCTGTCGAAAGATACCTCGATCTTGAGGCGCGAAGTACGGCGACGGTGGTAGCCTGAAGGTACTTCGGATCTCACCTGCGTCCTTGCCACCCTTCACGCAGATCCCAAAGCCATGGTGAGAGTCCGGGGGATCTCTCGTCATGGTGATTGTCCTTACGGTGAGCTCCTGAAGGCTGAGCGGCTGAGAGCTGGGCGACGTCGGAGGATTCGCCGGATTCTGCTGCGACTGCTGGGACTGTTGTTGCTGTTGTTGCTGCTGGGACGAGGACGACGTGGTCCTGACGGCGGAGACGCTCGCTGGGGACGACGCTGGCGTCCTCCTGTCGCCTTGCCGACGCTCCGAGACTCCGTTGCCGAACAATCTGCGACGAGAATTCGAGGATATTATTTTCACGGTATTTAACTGTCTCCACTTTCGAAGTAAAGGCATTTAATTTAACGAAACCCCTGAGCACGTGTATATTTAAGTAGAAAGTAGTTTATTTCAAGTAAATAAAAGTATTAGGTGGTTTGAAAAGTTCGTGCCAATTTTCGAGATAAATTCAAAGGCACGTTTGAATTTTGATATATAACATACAGTCGATCCTATAGATATTCGTACCTTCAATGTATATCCAAGAAGTTTGACTAAATTAAATAATAGTTTTGATATTGCCAAACGAATTTTTCATTATAAATACATTTAGGCTCGTAAATATTCGCACCTTCTAGGTCTATTAAAGAAATCCGTCTAAATTAAATGATAGACTTGATACTTTCAAATAAATCTTTCATTATAAATGTGAACATAAATGACTTGTTTGTATTTATCATTTTATAACGAAGTATTTATTTCAAATTATCAAGCACATCATTTAATGACAATTAATGATTTTATTCGTGAGAAAGTGTCGCTCACGAATAAACCTACAGTGTCTTTAAATTTTTCAAAAATGAACAAAATCACGTTATTTTGTGACAACGTCTTTAATCAGCTATTCTCGGTCAACGTTCTCGTTGACTTCAATCTGAATTATCCTCGCCACGGAGACCGTTCAAACGTTCGCTCGCACTTCAGCCACCAGACGCCTATTATTAACCTGTCTGCTTTGATCTAAAGGCAAAGGGGACACCTTCTAACAACCAGCCATATTAGAGCCCCGGTTAATCAAATTTCCATCGGGTGTCTATTCTATGAAACAACGTTCGTCTGGCTAAAAACCACAAAGCGCGAGACGTTTACGAAACAACCGATTAAATCGCGAGCTGCGGGAGACGCCTAAGCGCGTAGCGTCGACAACCGGCCGTAAGTTCGCCGCGCATAACGCTCAGGGTCGGGTGTCTCCTGCAGCGAACGGGTTAAATATAGGAGCGTTGTAACAGTTTTCATAAACATGGTTCCCACATAGTAACGGGTTAAACGACGCACGAACAGGAACGTACCTAAGCACCTGCTCCGGCGATATGGCGCCCGTGCCCCCGGTGGTGTGCCCTCTGTGCCTGTACGGCGTGGTGTGCGAGGAATGGTGATGAGGTGCGCTCGGCGGTCTCTCGACGATCGTGTAACTCGTACCCGGAGGGCTGTAATATCCCCTGTGCTGACCGCCATGGTGCCTGCTGGTGGGCTCTAAATCCTCGGCTTCGTAGCAACCGCCGGTGCCGCTTCTCAGGAAGTGAGACCCGCTGCGCAGGAAGTGCGACCCGCTGCCCCCGCCCCACTGCAACTCCTGCAATTCCGAGCCGTAATCCTCCGTGCTGCTGGCCATGCCTTTGGGATCCGTTTTGTCAGACCTGCGAACAAAAACGGTGATGGTCAGCCTCGAAGTTGGTTACATTATTATCACACTACGCTGGTATTCTTTCATTCGGTCATTTATATCAAGGTGATTTGGTCGAAAATGACAACAGATCGGATCGTCTCGTAACTTTGAAAACTCGAAATTTACATCTTAATACGCATCTGTCTGAAACATGGGTTCGATTTGCCGTATAGTTTGTTAGATATGATCACTTGAATATATCGTGACTTTTCGTCGAATCTGACAGGAGGCTTACGGCAGCCGAAGGAAAGAGAGGAACTTCGTACGATACTTTTGACTGTAAAACAATTTGTACAAGACAGATCGAAAAAGACTTCGAAACGTCAATCTCTATCACTCGTAACTTAACCTGACGAGAATTGAAATGCTACGTTGAATAAAATAATACTTAAAAACTAATTGCAACTGTAATTGTATCAATTACTACTTTTTGTTTGATTAAAAGTCATAATGAAATAATAATTTAAGAATTTTATTACAAAAAATATATATCGTTATTGATACTTTCTATATCTGAGTTTTGTTTCGACTGGTACAGTTGGAAAAGGACCACCTTAAAGTAATTAAAATTTCTTTGAAACCTGATATTACTTCTCCCTGCCTGTAAGCTCGACAAAAACAATTCCCAATGAGTTTCGCAATTTTGCTCGAGATACCGATAACGTATTTCGTCCTAATTTAACTTTACCGAAATCGAAAGAGAAGCCACGCGAGTCCGGGTTCGTCGGAGCCCCGTCAAAGGAGGCGAGCATCGAGATTATGAAAATACAATTAGCGGGTGTCGAATCAGGGGATGAGTCGCTGATAATCAAAGCGGCTCGACGGAAGATAACGAGACCGCCCCTGCGGAGGATACGACCTGAATCTCGCGCGACGGCGACCCCGTCGATCTAGAATCTCATCAATTAGTCGGGAGCCGAGGCTCTCAGGAAATCACGGAGTATCTGATATTCACCCTCTCGTGACATTTAAATGTCGACGTGTCCCCATATACGCGACTAAATTGAAACGTTCTCGGACAAGGTCGCGATACTTAGGCTACGGTCGCTATGGATGCGAATTCGGACAAAAATGTGTTCGGACGAGTACGTCCGAAAACCTCGTCAGAACAAGGCGGTCTACTACTACTTACGACATCGTGAATGTTCTGACATGTGTGTGGTTACTAGTGTAAACACTATCGTTGAAAAACAGGCGTTTGTTTATTTGAACGAATTCGTCAGACCTCGTCCGAACACATTTTCGTCCGAATTCGCATTCATAGTAACCGTAGCCTTAATCCTCCCATCGAGAAGTAGAAATTTATTGGACGTAGGAATTCATTCTGCGCCTCTTTAGTTTTTATTTATTATTCGTAACTTTCGATCGTAAACTTTTGATTTGCATAAATATTAGGCTTCTTGCTTTCCCCGGAGTCGATCGATACCAACGTTCGATCCCTGGACTCGTTGTCGAGGGACCGTGATGCGAGACGATTACCTTTATCGGTACGTACGGGCGCGCGAATGACGAAATAATGAAATTCATCGCGAGGGAAGTTTCCTTATCGCGGGGCCAGTCGGTTGTCCGCGATAAAATCTTCACGTGACGGCCGGCAATGGGGCGATTTTCCGTGACGCGCGGCACAGCGATGTCATAATCCCGACAGGAAACGGGCCATTATCGCCGGAAGAAATTTGAAAGTTCCCTTGTTCGTGGCATCAAGCATCGCGCGGACCCGCCCACCGCCTCCGATTTACTCGACCCCGAGGGCTGAATTCCTCCCCTGCGACTGATCTTTCTTGGCGACGTTCGCGCGCCCCTTCTACATTTATTCCGAATAAGAGACCGGCGTTAATTCGACTGTACGAAAGCGTCACGTAAGTAATTACACTTATATTATAATCAATTTATTTATTCTATGCGAATCAAATTGGTAAGTTATCGCGTTCCGAAGGAGGGTAGCAATTTTGTAGGGTTACGTGTGTTTGACGTTATGAAAATGTCGATGTTCCTTTTCCGTTTCGCAAAATAATGCAGAACGAACGAACACTGTTGCAGACAAAAAAGACCTTTCGTGCGAGTCATACCGGGTCAGGCGTAATAGTCAGTCAGCCTTTGTCAGGCAAAATTACTCGACGCTGTCCACATTTTACTTATTCGTTGCTCACAGCACCAGGTCCCTTAATCAGGCACTCCTCTTTCCTTCCCCTTGCGATTCTTTGATACCCCTTTCCACTGCATTTTACTATTCCAAGATTCTTATTTACTCGTATTTATTTCGGTACCATTTCACGAATCGGATAACACAGGTGCGTGTTTCATTATTGGAAATCATTTACAAATAGCATGGGGCGCATATCTGAACAGCGTCACACTGACGCGTAACGCTTGATAACAAAGATGTTCGAATAAAATAATTCTTACGCTCGTCGTGTAATCTGTAGATTTTTTATTACGAGACATCTCGTGCTTTGTACCTGTGGCAAAATTACTTTATTACTTAAAAATTCTCGAACAACGTACAGAGAATACGTTGCACGTGGACAAACGTGTCGGGCTGATATTAATAAATAAACTTAGAGAACGTGGAACCAACGTCTCTGGGTAATATAATATTTCGTACGTGTTTCTGAAATTTACCTTTAATATTTGAACACGCTGTGGACGACGTGGTATCATACGTTATGAAATACCATCGCATTTCCTTTGCATTTCAAATCTTATGACAGAATTCGTTACGGGGAATATCGAAACTTCGAATAGTGCTTGAGGAAATATGAAATCAATGCTGGTTGGATGAAATAAGAATTCGAAGCTCATACTTGGTACTTTATGTTTAATAGAGTAATAAGATGCTACTCTTGCATTTAATCATGAATTATTAGCTTCGAAAGGAATTACATACATCGAGAAATGAATTCGTCGGTACGATTTATGGAGACATGTAATTCGATACTACTCGACGAATTTATGTTTGAATATTATTTCATGGACGCATTTGTAAGTAATACAAATTATTCTTATATATATGTTATTCAATATCACCCAACGTAGAAGCATTATAAATTAATGTTTATCGGAACGATCGGGTCCACATTAACGACTCCAATAATCGATTCGTAACCTAGAAATGGAAACGATACTAAATTTACAACAATGCTCGATTCATTCTTAATCCCTCTGTATACGCTATCCACGATTCAGTAGTTACAACAAATATGTGTTATACCGAAGAGAAAAGTCACAGCTTCAAGATTACGCTCAACAAAACAAATAATTCCCAACTCGAATATCTAGTAATAGACACACGAAAGTGTTCGATATTTTTCTAATCGATCCATTTACACTGTAGAAAATTAGCAAATGACTGTTAAAATAAATAAAAAATAAGAAGAGTCGGAGATTGCATATTATCCAGCGCAAAGAAACATTTAGAGCTTTTATTTATTTTGTGAGACGAAGAGAGCCAAGGTATCGTACATTCCAGGCCAGAAATGAACTCGTAGCAGGAGCGACAGTGACAGCAAACGCGTTAATAAAGTGCTCCTGTTGTCTATTGTGACTGGTGTCCATTACGAAACGAATAAGGTTGAGACGGAATTAGCTTGTCCCTGCCAATGAAGATAAGCAGGAGAAAAGGTACGAGGTAAGTCCGTCTTTACTGCTTAAGAGGTCAAACCAAATAAGTTCACGATGTTAACAACTCGTATGTACAGCGGGCAGAATCGTGTACGTGCTCCACGGAACTGGTTCAGTGAATTATGAATACGCGCTGTACAATGGCGTGTTCTCGTCGCCGGCGCACGGAAGGAATTCAGAATTCTAGAGAAACAGTTCTGCTCCATTTTGTACGTTTCGAGGGCTCAAGGTGCACGCTGATATTTGCAAAAAATGAATTTTCCACCGCTGAAAAGACACGACGCCAACGGAAACACGGATAATACCGTGACTCGAGAATGGAAATATGGAGAATACGAAACGCGTTAGAAGAAAATACCTCGGAGACGTGCGTTTTATTCGAGTATATTATTTCTACGGACTATTTGATGTTACAAGGAACATTGTTCTATGAAGCACAGGAAGTCATCAAATACTTCAATTCTTTTGTTCATACAAGTAACAGTATTTTTATGTTTTCGTTGTCCTGTTTGGTATATTATCTTTAAAATCACAGTATTACAGAAAATATTAGTGCTGTTCGGATAAAAAAAATATCTTTTATACTATTTGACTTTTGTAATTTTTCGATGCCTATTATTAACATTTGCGATACATGACGCGATAAATATAACCGACTTACTGGGACAAGAGTTTTGCAAAGATTTCATTCGACCAAGGGCTTTCTTAGAATAACCTTTCGTATCTAACGAGCTGAAAATTTAACAAATTAAAGCAACACGATTAACTTAACTTCGAGCCAATTCAATTACCCATCGTAAAAATGTTCCGCCTCTGAAACTCACCCGCATAAGTTCTCTCCTTTTCAAAAGGGAGCTTTTCACATTCCCCCCACAAAAGATTTCAAACCGCTGCCATGGATCGCCATGCATGAAATTAGTTTTTGTTACATTCGCGAACAGAAATGCAAGAATTATTATCTCGCTTGAATACAGACATTATTAATTAACGACGAAACGAACAGCGCCGCGGATAAGCCTAAACTCGAAACGAACTGAACGCAGTTGAATTGCAAATGGAGCCCCTCATCCACGGAGCCGCTTTTATATTCCAGAGTTGACCTTGTTTCGATCGGAGATGGACCTAATGACGACGGAAGTCGTTTACTCGTCCACGGATAAGTCGCGAAATAAATGTCGCCACGCGTCCATATTAATTTCACCGTCGGGAACAATTCCTCTCATTAAGTTATTAGCGAATACAAAACCATGGAACGAACTTCAGGATCTCCCACGGTGGATCAGAATCCATCTATAGCAGAGACGTTAAGTATACGGTACTTTTTAACGTGTATAAAATTTGTCTTATTAG